AATAAATTGTATTTAATAATCATTAAATATTTGGTTTCTTATTTTTAAAACAGTGAATAATAATAGTATTATTATATAAAATAATCAATTTAACTTCCAAGTATATTGAAACGGATGTTTAATATCATGATGGTGACTAGTTTTTAAATGAATTTTCATAGAAACAAATATGTAAATTAAATTTATATTTTCACGGAAACAAATATGGAAATGCAAATTATATTTTTTATTAAAACATTTATACAAATATGTATAAACTATTTATTAAATGAAAAACTATAATAAGCTCGTCCTAAGATATTGAAAATACATTATGTATGTTGTGCATTATGTATACAGGTGTTTCGTGCTGAAAAATTATGTCAATACAAAATATCATAGTATTATCGTTCAAAGAATGTTTATAAAAATAAGATCTATACGAGAGAAATATTGTCTACTAACATAACTGTATTCAAATAATATCGTATACAGATGATAAAAAGTACTTAAGTCCTTATAAAATATACATATAAATGTCAAATACATGTTTGTAATTATTAAAAATAAATAATCTGAAATTGTATATTTTAGACTCTGAGCGGAGCGAAAAAGTTAGTGGTTTTACAATGGTGTTTTTTTAATTTTTTTATTCTGTATACAAAATTTCTACCAGAAGGAGTGCTTCGATTTCAACATATTATAATATAGTACCTTATCTTTTAGAAAATTGGATCAAGGTGGTACTTTCAGGAGGTCATTTTTCGATTTTCTCAATAGTAATTTCGTGCCACGGAAAAAACCACCGACAGATTACGAAGAACCGCTAAAAATTGGATTTTAATTTCTAACCCTTTGTTTATCACTATAGAAACGGATGAAAAAAAATAAATATTTTAATATTTATTCAAATTACAGGATATAATAAAATATAATAACAATATAAAAAATGTCCAGTCTGACAAACCGTCTCCGCTCAGAATCGTTTTCTTATACAATGATATTATATCATTGACTTCAAGTTAAATACAATCCATTATACATTGACCCACTTGTAGCCTACTGTACAGCAGAGCGACATCCACTTACCCACTTTTTTTTTGTTATACCTACCTATTTACTTTTTTACAATGTTAAATTTATTCATCACACTATGCGAGTTTCAAAATTGTATAATTTCCATGTTATTTCCATAAATTATATAAATTGTATAAAAAAATAAAAGAATGGTTATAATTATGTTAAGGGAGAAAAACGATTTAGTATGTGCTACAAGCCCATCCACACGTTGCAGATCGCTTCGGCTGAGGGCGATTGGCCCACGCAGTATACTTAAAATTAGTATTTAATATATTATGTACTATAATGTGAAACTGTACACTGACAGCATGGCTACATAATATTATGACTCGACACGGAAATCTAATCAAAAACGGCCTTAATACTATATTATAATGTGCTTGGTCGTATCAAATGGAATCGTGGGTGCATGGTAAGAGAGAGAGAGAGATAGAGAGAGTTGAGAGAGAGAGAGAGAGAGAGAGAGAGAGAGAGAGAGAGAGAGAGAGAGAGAGAGAGAGAGAGAGAGAGAGAGTGAGAGAGAGAGTGAGTGAGTAGAGGGTGTGGGCATGTGTTGAAATACCCGACTGGATAAACTGACATTGAAAAAAAAGTTTCCTATGATTAAAAAACACAAACCATCCCCGGACGATTATACAAATACAGTGCTACATTTGTTTACATTTTCTTTTTGGTAATCAACAGTGGGGTTATTAGCTACGGAATACAATCATCCAAATACATGTATAATAAGTATATGGCCATATGAGTTACCCAACTATTAAACGAAGGAGTTATGTTTCATTAAACAAATGTATTGGGTTTGGATTTTTTTTTTTTTTGTAGATTTGAGGATTTTTTCTTAAGTGCCCGATAGTTGGTGCTTGTGACTTACTATGGAATAATAATATGTTTGACAGTGAAGTTGTTCCGAAACCTAAATACAAGATGTTGATCTTCCTTGGCCTACGAAGTGTCATTACTCCATCCGTTATTAAAAAATACATGCTAATTACTAATGAAAGTTCTTAGTGAGTCAGAGACATTATTAAAATATATTTCTTTTCATATAATTTGTATATTTTGTTTATATAAATGTTAAAAGACTTTGCGAATAAAACAAAATAAAGGTTACAATTTTAGTATAGAAATTTGAAAGCGTTCATCTTAATATTATTATGTTTAAACGTATGATTAAATAAATAGCGTCATATAACATCGAAATGCAATTAAAGTGAAATAAGATACGATAAAAAATCTAATTATATATTAATGGAGTTTAGTTAATAATATTTGATGTATTGCAATACACAATTGGGATAAAGAAATAATTATAGACTTTGGGATAATGATTTTATGTTACACAGTGTAGGAAGCTGAGACAGCAGGGGGTTAATAAACGAAGAAAGATCGGAATGAAATATTGTTAACGATGGTTCAATATTAAAAATAGAAGGGGGGCTTTGATATTTCTGGTGTCAGAAGCAAAATGAGTCATACGATGGGTTGAATGGGAGGGTGAGAAAATATTTAAATCGTGTGTTTTGGGCTATCGAAAATATATTTATGATGGTTAGGATTATTATTTTTTTCTTCTAGTGTTAGCGCTTAAGACAAGATTTTTTAGTTTGGACACTAAAGTTAGTTGTGTGAACAAATTCCTCACGAGGCATATTTGGGAGAGGTGAAATTGTGTTTGGAACAGTCACTTGAAAGTTTATCCCCCCGCACTTTCCACAGCAGGAAGAATAATTACAAAAGATTCTACTATGATAACAGTGTTCATTCATAATGATAGGATGAGTATATTATTATTATTATTATTAATATCTATATTATAATTAAAATCTTCAAAAAAAGATGACGAAGCTCCATTTTATAATTTTTTTTTTCAATGTTTTTAATACAATTTACCAGTTCTGCCATATCCTCAGAAGTATTGAGAGTTGTGTTGCAAACGTATCGGAAACCTTAAAACTTTGCCACCAATAACCCTATAGGGCGGTAACGGTGATGGAAGAATGTATGGTTGCATCTGTATTGAACAGATGTCTCATGATATTATTATAATTCAAGCTTTCGTAAGCGTAAACACTAAACGGTCAAAAATACAACTTACATACCATTACCAGCCGTAATTGTAATGCAATGCAGTTTATTGTTTAAGGTAGATTTGTGGAGATTGGTGGAATTGCTCATTATCGGTAGCCCGAGAATAATGAATGTAATTCTCGAGCTGTCGATTAATTCTACGCCTAACCTAACCATTAGTCGGCAACGCCATGAACCGATTAGGTGAGTAGAATTTTTTTTCCCGCCAGTGATGGTGAGTTTGAAAAAAATTACAACATACGTTTGGGTTCGGTGATTTGAAACCAAGTAGATTTGGCCGTTTAGGGCAAGCTGATATCTGAAAAAAGATATCCCTTGTTACCATAACATGTTGTTGTTGTCATTATTATACGCGTGTTAAGTGTACCTATACATTATTTTAGGATCAGCACCAGCTGCGATGGAGAAACAACATAGTGTTACTGCGATAATTTGGCTGAAATATTATAGGCTATAATATATATTTCAAAGTATTAACATTATACCGATAACCAAGAATATATTACACTAAAAAAAACATAACTAAGATTTATATTAAGTAAAATAATAGACAAAATGTTGTTTTAGCCTTAATACTTACACTAAAGTGGTCTCACTTTAGCCTTAACACTCACACTAAAGTGGTTTCACATAAATCTTAGACCTAAATATACCTCAGTACTCATTATTACACAAATAATGTATTTAAACAGCCGATGACTGGTCCTACCATTACTGGTAGCTGGGAATTTATAAAATGCATTTTAAAATACAACTAGTTCATAGGGTGCATCAAAGTTTTTGTCATTATTCATATTGTATTACATTTCCATATAAATCATAACTATGATAATGACTGCAGTAGTTAAGTCTTTAATGTCACAGTTTATAAACGACACATAATATAATGTCGCCTTTATATATAAATACATCATAAATCATTTGTGCACAACATTATATATATATATTATGTGACCTGGTCTGGTGCGGTTCGTACACTCAACTGTGGAAATGCTCTGAGTGTAAGTATCGGCTGGTGTTACTAGCTCCGGGATGGGTGGCCGCTCAAGATTTTTAGCTACAAATCCTTGCCACACATGTTGGTGTTTCAACCAACCGTTAATGTTAAAAAAAATAGCTAATGGCTAAAGTTGCTGGGCTTAAGCTCAATAAAAAATGTTTAAAAATATATTATTTTTTTTATAATTGTACAATGTACATTGTAATTTAAAAATAAAATTAATTTTTAGTTAAATGCTTTAAAGAAAAAATTTTATAAATCCAAGCTTATGGAGTATCAAATTAGTTTTAAACATAGTCCGAGAAATAAACAAACGAGAAAAAATATCATCTGTGGGATTTTTAGTATAATAAATATCTATAATGAATATTTTTCATTTTGTTGCTGCCGAAATCAAAATATTTCGAGGTAAAAATGTTCATCTACACCTCACTTGAAAAAAAATATTTGTCTCAACTTTGCGTTGAAATTAATTGCCATCAGAAAAGAGACAATTCAAATACTGATGATGTGTATTGTGATTTAAACCTTTTTAATGAAAGTCCAATACCCGAAGTTATTGAATATCAAACGCAATAATTGCTACCTTCAACCTATTTATTTATTTTTAATTGGATAACTATATAGTATAAAATATAATCTCGGCATACAAATACAATCCATACTATTGTTTAATTAGTCTCTCCTTGAATATTTTTAATTCACATTGACTAAATATAGAGAACCAGTATTAACAATCGAAAAAAGAAGTATTAAAATGGGAAAATAACTAATTGTATTAAATCGAATTCCATCGAATCCACGCCTGTGAGGTCGGATTTTCGGGGTACGAAAAATGGGACGCACTACACTACGACTGACCTGTGGGCGTGGGCGTGAGCTGTTTCATGTCGATGGTGTGATGGATATCGTAGTTCTTGAATATGTTGGTCTTCCTTGTCTTGAAGTTACGTTGCAACCCGCTTATGGCCGACGTGAACGCCTTGGTGTAGATTCGCGTGTCGAACGACTTGTAAGGCAGCACCAGGCCGACCGTCAGGTTCTGGTGCTGCCGACGGGCCATGGTCCTCGGCACAGTGGGCTGCTGCCTGCGGAACCGCTCCGTGCTGGTGGTGGTCGCCACCGGAGTGGTGGACAACTGCACCGGTTCCTTGAGCCGATTCTTGAGCACTCCCAACTTGATGGAGCTCTGGCCCCGGCCATGGCCGAATGCCGTCTGTGACAAGTCCACTGGCCGGTTGTTGATCTGTATACGTGACCCGTTCCGGGGTGTCCAGCCTTGCGTGGAGGTGGTGGCCAGAGTAAGGACCAGCGCGAACCACCACCAACACCGCACTGCTCCGGTGGGTCTCATCAACTGGTCGATCCTGGAAAAAGAAAATGGTTGCATATTATAATTATTTAAGTGGCATTGAAGATGGTGAGGTATTATGCTAGGTAATTTGTTCGTGCTACAGACGACGACCTGTGGATTATTGTGCGGTTACAGCCAAAATAATAATATATTATACGTTTTGATCGGCCCAATACATAAATAATGATCTAAAAATATTTATAAAACTTCCCTACACGCTGCAGAGGAGGCGATACATTGTGTCCGGACTCATTTTTCCGCCACCGCTGCTGTGTGTGGAGACCTTTAAATTTAATTTAAGATTAAAACAACAAATAACAGGTAGGTACTGTTATATTTATGTTGTCTTTAAGTTCCTCAATAAGTAAATAATAATTGCTCTCAATTATCAAAAATAACAAAACAGTATATTGGAAATGAAGAACATACATTTAAAGTATGATAAGTGTGTCATGTGTATAACACGGCTGATAACGAATGGGAGTGTAGCTTACTATGAACTCGAATTATTGCTCTAAGATAAATAATCTCTCACTTGACAACCGTCCCAATTTTCTCGTCACTCTGGAATAAATAAATTATTAATTTTGATCTCTGAGCACCTCCACCACTGAATTATATTAGCACCTAACCGTAGCTCGTCAGTAGGTACATCTATTACTCGTACTTCTGTATAACATCTCTATGAGTATAATAAAATGTATGCAATCAATAATGGTAATTACTTCTCTGGCAGACCATAATATTATGTATAAACAAAAACAATATTAAAGATTTAATATTTCCCATATTCCTCAAATACTCCAATGTTTCGTCTTAATGCCCGCAACGTTTTTTGATAAAATTAGTATTATAGTTTAACAAATTAATAACTAGCAAACTTATATTTTTTGTTTATACGTAACTTATTTCATGTATTTTTTTATGAAAAGTATAAACTATATTATTATTTTGATATTTTGTACAATTTTAAGCCAGAAAAACTAGCGATGAGTAGCGACACGCTATTTTTATGAATTCCTTATACAATTATTTATTTACTTGTAAATAAAATACACTTTTTTGGGGAGAATTTAAACTAAAAGTATATCAAGCATGAACTAAGGAAATTATTATCCGAGTTCATGATAAAATAAATAAAACCATAAAATCTTATAGTGACTTCTATATAATATACTAGCCACACCTGATCCAGTATCAACAAAATGTAAATTTAATTTTCCTATTGTAAATTATTAATTTGTCACCTGGACCACCAAAGAAAAGTGAAAATAGTAATAACAATTTGAAAAAAAAAACTTTAAAATAAAAACATATAGCTATAATGGGTTACGCAGTTTATGTATATGTCAACGATTTTATCCTTAGACAGGTAGAAATGTGAACTAATCATAATAATATTATTACTGTATTTATGTAAAACAGTTGAAATGGATTTTCAGCATTTTAGCGTTGCTCCTATTTATTAATTAAGAAATCGCTTTAGAATACTGTTGTATACAATAATTTATATACAAATATTATCAATCATTCATTGCGAAAACGAATATATTTCCATTAAAACTTTGCAGAATATCAATATTGCACGCGTCATTCAAAACCATACACAATTTACAGAGTATATTTTAGTATAGGTACCACAAGTCTTGCTTATTTATTTTTAAATTTCGAAACTGGTAGCAATCAACGCGCCAAACCAATCAACAGTCTTATTTTTGATATGTTCTTGGGTGGTTCTGATTGGTCGATAATTCAGAATTAAGTTTCATTTATTTTATTGACAGCTTATAGTGTTTATTTATTGTACGTCATTCAATGGTTTATTTTTCATTTCGTGTAAGTAATGAGGTTGTCTTTAAATAAAAATAAAACATACTTTGTTTAAATATTTAGTTATAAATAAAAAATAAAAATGAGGATTTCCTCAATTGTTTATGATTATTTAAAAACCACAAATAAATTAAAAACAGGTACTTCAATTCCAATTTCTATCATAGATAACATATTCAAATTATAAATTGTTATCATACCAAAAACTTAAAATACGATTATAAATAAATAAATGTAGATACCAATACAGAAACTAAAATTCTTAAATTGTTTGAATAGTTCATTCATTTTATTTTATTATAATAAATTGTATTAAATTTTTGTATAATTCTTAAGTTTATTTTTGTGCGCATAATTGATTTGAGTTTTGAACAATTAATATTGTCTTTCCTTATTAAATGATATTCGGTTTTTGTCTTTATCAAAACACAATGATGTCGAAAAATTGTATGTTTATGTGTTTTAATTTTTTACCAAACGGTATATAATATAGTAACCGAGTGTTATGGCATTTTTCTTCAATTTTTGTATTACTTAGCTACTATTATTATGAGTTATGATATATTATATGTATTATTGTATGATCATTGTGTACCCCCCTCACCACAAAACAGGTGTACTACTACTTAATCTACTACAACTAGTGCTTATAATATAATTCTCAAATAAGTAATGTTTGGTTTTCAGTTATTATACATAACTTCCACATAACGTATCAGAAATAATCCGTTATGGTTGACAGTGCAGACAAAACCAAATTCGAGTTGGTTAATTTTAATAATGGTAGGTTTGTTTTAGTATTGGAGTCCAATTGATTTTTCTTTACCACGGAGAGCCCAAGATATAGGTATAGTAGGTATAGGTATAAATAACAGATAAATAGTTAATGCATAAATAGGTACTCTCATAACGTGATATCCAGTCTTATGACACAACTATAGAAGTATTGATAATAATTAACTGTTAGTGAGAAATAAAGATTTTTAACATATTATATTGATTTGGTTTTTGGTGACAATAAAAATAAAAGGATCCTGCAGTAGATATAAATATTTAAATACTATGTACCTATAGGTTAACGTAACTATGGATAATAATAGTATGAACTAATAATGTATTGTCAATAGAAATTATGCATAAAATAAGAAAGTTTATTTGTTCAGCTGCACACAAATAATAATAACCAAAAGTATATTATAGATCAAAAATAAATGTTGCCAATTCAATATGAAATCAAACGTTGAATTCTGTTCTTTAATTGTTATTAATAATTAACATCCAAACGGGGTTTGGGAACAGTTGGCAGAAGCTTTCACCGTACATGATACATAATACATAATACGTACTATATGAATGCACAATGTTAATAATTTACCAGTCGTCTCTCTGACAACTGCTATTATGTCTGCCACCGTCGACAATCGAGGCAAGGCGACAGCGATCATCGTTAAAATGCAATAATTAAATTTTATTCACCGTAAAAATGAAATTGGCTTTCCGGGGAGCAATTAATTATTTTATTAGATTGCCCTCATTTTACCTTGATATTTAAACTCCTATGGATTTCAAGTATTTTCGAACTTAACGGCCCGTATACCTAATACGAAATATTATCGTAGAAAAAAAACCCCCAAAAAATTTGTTAGTAATATTTCATCACATTGGTGTAACGATTTCAACACGGAAGAATAACATCGATTCTTATAATTTATACTTCCCGGTGTGCTGTTATTATATTATACAACTTGTGAACTGAAAAAAAAAGTGGTGACAGCCAAAGCTCAAATCTGTTTTTGTTTTTAAGTATGTGTAAAGTTATCGTCATAGTGGTAAGTGGTACAACACCTTTATTAAGATGTACGGTCTTGCTGTTTCACAAACTATTCCACAGTTTGTGAACAACGTGAGGTGATATGTTCCTGTCCTCCCCCTTCACAGGTTCTTCGTAAATTTCCTCAGCCCGTGCTGTATAATTTTTGAATTACTTTATTAATATTCGGTGCCATGTTGGTGATTATAATACCAACTGTTACAACCGTGCCATTTATTCGTTGTATAATGTTAAAATTATGCCAATGATTACAATATTATTACCATATTATATTTATTAATATACCGATTTCACCGTACCCACTGCAAATATGTGAACCGTGACACATATCACTGCAAATATGTCTGTCATCGATAAGCAAACTAGGCAGGTAAGTGACTGAATCGCAGCAAAACTATATATTATCGTCTAAAATAATTAGTCAATTGGTGTTTAGATATTTCAGTCATCGTTTCGGCCTGTGTAACTATAGTTTGATAATTAATTATCAGGACAGGTGTCAAATATCATATTACAACCGAGATGAATTATTGGGTTATTTATAGCCTAACAGGTACCTTATTAATATTTTGCGTATGTTTATAAATGATTGTTGAGTTTATATTCATTCCTAAATCTTAATACGATAAACATATAGGTACCTATCTCAAGTATAAAATCAAGTAAACCATGGACACAATTTGAGTCAAGTATCAAGGTACTAAAAATTACATAACACCCACTCAAATTCTGTTATTTTATATCTGTGTCAATACTCTTGTAGTCTTGTTTAAGTAACCGTTACATATGTATTTTAAATATATTATATCATATCATTATCTAACAAATATATTATACTCACTCGCATGCTGAGAAAATATTTCGTAACCAGTATCTAAGCACGCACTTTAAACCACACAATTTTATAGATAAAAGATTAATATATTGGTATTTCATCCATGATGGTTGTTTTCTTCAGGGGAAACAAGTTGATTTAACTGTATCAACTTTTTTATGATAAACCGTGTGGAGGACAACGGTTTTTTGTTCACACACTATCATTTAGTCATAAACTCACAATGAAAATAAAATGTTTACTCTATGCTATATAGTTGAATGTTAAAAAAAAAGGAAACGTTTTGTTTGACCTAAATGACAGAAACAATTGACTAAATTACACAGAAACTGATCCACCGTTGCAACTGCATGTGATATTATGTCTGTCTTATTAAGATATCAAAATGTAAGTTCCAAGCAGTATTGTTTTAAAATATTAAAATTTAAAAATGCTCAGAACTTGTTTAAAAATTAAAATATTGTAATAAGGAATAACCAACGAGACGACACAGAAAATGTTCTTTAGTTTAAGTTGCATTATAATATGTAAATTCACTCT